ACTCATAAGTCTGTTGTGTTATTGAGTGCCTCTTGGAAGTCCATGTACACCACAGTAACATTACCCTCATCAACCTTCTCTGTTATCTCATCAAAAAACTCACTTAACTAAAGTGTACCAAACTCAGTTAAACAAATCTATTGCTGGCTTTCCTTATTTAATCCACATTTCTCTGTGTAACTTTTCTTTTATCCGGAAGGAATGTTTCTAAACGTTTCTCTAATACCACAAGTTAAACAAACTGGTATGTATTTGCATTTTTGAACAAATGTGTAATCTTTTCAACTCTGTAGTCTTCTAGCACCACCTTCGTGAGTCGAAGGAAAACTGGAAATTAAGGCCAGGACTTACCACTCCCAGTTCCCTCAGTAGCCCTCGTGCATCTCATTCAGACCTGGTTCTTTATCCACTTTAAGTACAACCTATCCAATATCTCCCCTATATCAATTTAAACCCTTCAAGTATCTGAATTTCCTCTTCTTTCTTCTTTCCTCCACTCCCTACTCCACTGATGCTCAGCAGCAGCAGTGTGAACCACCTATGAAATGCACTGCAGAAATTCACCAAAGCTCCCCAGACAGCACCTTCCAAACCCGTGACTACTACCATTTAGAAGGACTAGGGCAGCAGATAAATGGGAACACACCATCTGCAAATTCCCTTCCATACCACTCACCATCTTGACTTGGGAGTATATCGTTGTTCCTTCACTGTCACTTGGTCAAAATCATGGAATTCCCTCCATAAGGGTATTGTGGTCTACCTATAGCGCAGGAACTGCAGTGGTTCAAAAAGTCAGCTTACCACTACCTTCTCAAGGACAACTAGGGCACCTACGGTTTTGAGAAGGGTAGTTACCATACCACACTGTGATGCATCCAGATAGGATACTTTCTATTGGTGCATCTATAAAAATTGTTAACAGTCCTTATGGACATGGTGAATTTCCTTAGCCTCCTGAGGAAGTAGAGAGGTTGTTGTGCTTTCTTGACCATTGCATCAACGTGGGTGGACCTGGACAGATTGTTGGAACTTGGTGCTCTCAACCATCTCAACTTGGTGCTCTCACCCTCAGCACCATTGATGCAACTCGGGCACGTCCTCCTCTCCACTTTCTGAAGTCAATGACAAGCTTTTTCATTTTGCTGATGTTGATAAAGGAATTGTTGTCTTTATGCCACTAAGCTCTCGATCTGTTTCCTGTATTCTGTCATTGTTTGAGATCCAACCTACAATGGTGGTGTCATCAGCAAACTTGTAAATGGTGTTGGGGTGGAATTTGGCCACAGCGTCATGAGTGTGTAAGGAGTACAGTAGGGGGCTGAGTATGCAGTCCTGCGGAGCACTGTTGAGGATTATGGTGGATAAGGTGTTGCACCCTACTCTTACTGATTGCAATCTATGGGTCAGGAGGTCAAGGATCCATTTACAGAGGGGGGAGCCAAGACCTACGTCTCGGAGTTTTTGGAATTCTGGTGTAGAAGGTGGAATAGTAGTCAATAAGCAGGAGCCTGATGTGGGTACTCTTGTTATGCAGATGTTCCAGGGATGAGTGTCTGGCCAGGGCGTTGTGGTCTGCAGTGGACCTGTTGGAGAATTACAAAAGATTAAGGTGATTTGGAAGGCTGGTGTTGATATGAGCCTTGACTAATCTTGAAGCACATCATAATTATGGAGTTCAGAGCCACCAGGCAGTAGTCATTGAGGCATGCTGCATGATTTTATTTTGGCACTGGGAAGATGGTGGTCTTCTTGAAGCAGGTGGGGAGTTCAGATCGACATAAGGAAAGGTTAAAGATGCCAGCTGATCCACACAGGATCTGCTGGACATGGAGATGAAACAAAAATTATTCACGTCATATTTAACTCAAATCAGACCAAGCATGTCGACTCTAATTGGTTCCCGTGTTACCATAGGGATACAACAGTGACTTGACTGTCTGCAAGTCCCATTTCTCAGTGAAAAAATTTGCAGTGCGTGGACAAACAGAAACAAGGTTCCTTGTGTGCATTTCCACTCTTTGTTGTTCCCATCTGTCCAGTCCCTTGTCAATTGATGTCCAGTTCAGATTGCCCTCCTTCAGGGTATTTTCACTGTCAGCAATCTTCAATGCTGAGTACCTGTTTGAGAGTGGCACACTCCGAAAAATCCTGCCTCTTTCTGCTCTTCCTAATGGTCATCTATCTCTTAGCCTGAATCCTCATTGATGTTTGGGCTGACACCCTCCTTGAACGTACAGCCCAGGGAAGTCTGACCCTCCCTGATGCTGCAAAGTGACTCCAACTGTCCGATAAACTCAGAAACCCTGAGCTCGAGCTAAAGCAGCAGAAGATATTTCCTACACATCTGTCTTCAATATGCATGAAGTGTCCTGAGCTCCCACAAGGAACAGAAATTGCAATCAACAGATGCTCATCCATGATGTGAAAGAAAAGCATCCAAATTCCCTTTAACAGTGTAGCATGTGCCCTGTTTAAATTATTTCAATTAATATCTCAGGTCTTATTTGATTTACTATTATAGTGCCTTGACTTAGATGGGGAGGTGAGGAGTGGTGATGGCCTTCTGGATTATTACTGGATTTATTAATCCAAGGACCTAGCTTATAGAACATACAACAGTACTGCACAGGAATGGGCCCTTCGGCCCATGGTGTTGTGCCAAACATGACACAAAGTAAACTAATCCCTTCTGCCTGCCCTGTGTTCAAATACCTCTATTCCTTGCATTTCGATATGTGCTTATCGAAAAGTTCCTTAAATGCCGTATCATATATGCCTCCACCCACGACCCTGGCAATGCATTCCAGACTTCCACCGTCTGTGTGAAAAACACTTTCCCCTCACATTTCCTTTAAACTTTCCTCCTCTCACCTTAAATACATGTCCCCTAATATTTGACATTTCAACTCTGGGAAAAAGATTCTGACCGTCAACCCTATCTTTGCATCATTATTTTATAGACTTCCCTCAGCCTCCACTGCTCCAGAGAAAACAATTCAAGTTTTTCTAGCCTGTCCTTATAGCTCATACTCTCTAATCCAGACAGCATCCTTGAAAACCTATTCTGCACCCTCTCCAAAGTCTCCACATCCTTCTGTAATGTGGTGACCAGAATTGAAAGCAGTACTCTTAAGTGTGGCCTAACCAAAATTTTAGATAGTTGCAACATGACATCCTGACTCTTGTACTCAGTTCCCCGACCAATAAAGGCAAGTATGCTATACGCGTTCTTTACTATCTTATGTACTTGTGTGGACACTTGCCCGAATTAAACTCCATCTGCCGTTTTAACGCAAGTATCTATATCATGCTGTATCCTTTGACAAGCTTCTACGCTATCCACAACTCCACTGATCTTTATATTGTCTGCAAACTTACTAATCCACTGATCTACATTTTTATCCAAGTCATTTATAAATATGGCAAACAGCAGAGGTCCCAGTGTGGAACCACGGAACACCACTAGTCACAAAACTCCAGCCAGAAAAAACCCCTTCTGCCTTCTATGGGAAAGCCAATTCTGAATCTGAGCAGCCAAGTCACTGTGGATCCCATGCATCTTAATCTTCTGAATGAGCCTACCATGAAGGACCTTGTCAGAAGCCTTACTAAAATCCATGTGGACAACATCCACTGCTCTACTCTCATCAATCACCTTCTTAATCTCTTTGAAAAATTCAATCAAGTTAGACATGACCTACCCCACATAAAGCCATGCCGACTGGCCCTAATTAGGCAATGCTTTCCTGAATGTGTGTAAATCCTATCCCAAAGAATTCGCTCCAGTAGCTTCCCAACCACTGTTGTGAGACTCAGCAGTTTATAGTTTACTGGATTGTCCCTATTTCCTTTCTTGAACAGAGGAACAACATTTGCTATTTAGCAGTCTTGAACAGCGGAACAACATTTGCTATTCACCAGTCCTCCGGGATGTCTCCAGTCGCTAACGAAGATACAAAGATCTTGGTTAAGGCCCCAGCAATCTCCTGTCTTGTCTCTCTCAATAACCTGGGTTAGAAACCATTGGGTCCTTAATTCTCTTCAAAAGACCCAACAGCTTTCTTTATCTCAAAATGCCCTGGATTATTAGCATGCTGCACACTAATCTCACTAGCCTCCATATCCTTCTCCTGGGTGAGTACCAATGCAAGGTACTCATTTGGGATCGCGCCCATATCCTCTGCATCCAGGCTCAAGTTCCCTCCTTTATCATTGAGTGGTCCTACCTTCTCCCGAGTTATCTTCTTGTTGTATAGAATGCATTGGGATTCTCTTTAACCCTACTTGAGAACGACCAATAAAATGCCCGTCAACAGCTGCCTTCCTATCTCTTTCCCCATATCTCTACCCATGCCTGTCGCAGTATTCCATGTATCTCCTATCACCTCCTTTCATTTGAACTAACCATTCTACACGAAACCCACTTGCAGAAATTTCGGAACAAAAACAAAGTGGCTGGAAAAGCTCAGCAGGTGTGGCAGCATCTGTGAAGGAGAAAACAGAGTTAACGTTTCGGGTCCGGTGACCCTTCCTCAGTGCTGAGCTTTTCCAGCCACTTTGTTTTTGTTCCTGATTTACAGCATCCGCAGTTCTTTTGGTTTTTATTTAAGCAGAAATTTCGGTTATGAGGATAGATTGAAGAAAATGGGCTGTTCTCTTCGGAGCGAAGAAGGCATGAGCAGAGATTTGACACAGGATTTCAAAATCATGAGCGAGTTGATCAGAATAGATGGGGAGAAGATGTTCTTGCTCATAAAAGGAACAAGAACAAGAGGGCATAGATTAAAAATAATGAGTGAATGAAGCAAGGGTGTTGTGAGAAAATATTTAAAGGGACCGATCGGACAGGTCTTTCACTGAGTCGGCACCTACATGATAGGAGAATTGACCCAATTCTAAGACTCTAAGACCAGCTTGAGAATCGGCTGAGTATGACAATGTGTATCAGACTGTACATAGAAGAACTGTTTGCTAAAATTCTTAATGAATTATTGCAGGTGACATCAGTCAGAAGACAACCTGGCACCGAGTTTCCATATTCCGACCAGGCTTGAGGGACTTAGCTTATCAATACGTGAAGAAGGGGTAGGTGCAATCACATTACACTTGCTCATTGGTCTCACTTCCCTGGTGAGCCAAGGTTGATTATCAGATGTTGGAAGATGGATAAAGTTTCCCCATCTGCTCACCAACAAGCAATCACAGAATAATTACAGTTAAGAAATAGGCCACTCAGCTTATGTGTTTGTACTGGCTGTTTGTATGAGCTACTCCCCCAGTCCCAAATCTTCCCTCTGGCCTTGCAGATTTTTTGCTTTCACTTAGTTGCCCCATCACTTTTGAACGCATCTCTTGTGCACTGCACTTTCATTTCAGATCTGAAACACTCACAGCAGAAAACCTGTTTTCTGGTGTTGCTGTCACTTCTCATGGGACGTATGCCAGTGTTGGGAGATGTGACTCGTAGACTAGTGAAGCAACAGCCTACAATAGCTATGCTCACAGAATCATACCTTACACATAATGCAGACAACACCGTTACCATCCCCGGGTATGTCCAGTCTTACTAGAAGGACAAAGCCAGTAAAGGTGGTGGCACAGAAGCCGCCTTTGGAGTTCTCAACATTGTCCCCATACCCCATGAAGTCTCATGGCATCAGGCCAAATATGGGAAGGAAACCTCTTGAAATTACCATGTGGCGCCCACGTGATGAATCAGTAGTCCTTCATGTTGAACAACACTTGGAGGGCACACTAAGGGAGGCAATGACACAAAATGTACTCTGCTGGAAATCTTCAAAGTCCACCATCAAGAGTGGCTTGGTAGCAGCACTACTGACCAAGCTGCTCGAATTTGAAAGGACATAGCTGCTAGACTGCATCTCTGGTAGGTTGTTGAGGGAGTCAGCAGAAAAGAAAAGCATACCTTGATTCAATGAAGAGGGCAGGTGAGCATGTCAGGACCAAAATCAAGATTACCTAAACAATAAGGTGTCAAAACTGGCAAAGCTACAACACTGGACAAGCAAACACTGAAACCAGCAAAGTTTAGGGATTCCCCAGTGAAGGTCAGTCATCTCAGCTCCAGGACATCTCTGCAGGAACTCCTCAGGATATTGTCTTAGACCCAACCATTGTCTTCTTCTTCATCAGTGACCTTCCCTCCATCATAAGGTCTAAAGTGGGGATGTTCCCCAATGATTACACCATTCATGACTGCTCAGAAACAGAAGAAGTCCATATCCAAATGCAGAAAGACCTGGACAATATTCAGGTTTGAGCCGATATGTGGCAGGTAATAGTCACATCACACAAATGCCAGGCAATGACCATCCCCAACAAGGGGCAGTCCAAACACTGACTCTTGAAATTCAATGCCATTCTGATCATTGAATCCCCTATTATTAACATCCTGAGGTTACCATTGACGAGAAACTTAACTAAATGAGGAGATGTTGCTTTTTCTCAGAGGGTTGTGCAACTTTGAATTCTCTGTCTCAGAAGGCATTGAATGTGAGCTCATTGAATATTTTTAAGCCAGATGTAGGTAGATTTGACTTAGGCAGAGAATCATAGGTTAAATGGAGAATGTGGAATTCCAAACACAAACAGGTCAGCCATAATCTTATTGAATGGTGGAGCAAGCTCAAGGGGTCTAATGGCCGAATTCTGTTCTTATTATAGGGTCCAATGGACTAGCTTTTTAAACACTGTGACTACAAGAGTAGGTCAGAGGACTTCTGCAGTGACTAACTCGACTCTCTGCCCGCTCCTGGCCTCGGTCTCCCTGCTTGCACCCCATCTTGCTCACTCTCTGCCTGCTTCATTCCCAACCTTGCTGTCTCTCTGCCCACTCCTAGCCTTGCACTCTTTCTGCCTACTCAGCTCCCAGCCTCATTGTCTTACCTTTACTGTGGGCATGGGGCAGACACACTCTGAGTCTTGTTACATCTTCAAAAAGTTCTCATCAATTTATCAATCACATTCTCCCTTTCACAGGACCAAGTTGATTCTGTCTTATTGTGTTATGATTTTTGAAATGCTTTTGTAATACCTCCTCATTATCGGATTCTAGCAGTCTTCCAGTGACAGATGTTAAGGTAACTGGCCGATAGTTTTGTCTGATCTCTCCTTCCTTGTGTGAAGATGTTACGTTTACAGTTTTCCAATTCACTGGAACCTTCCCAGAATCTAGGGAATTTTAAGAACTACACTATTGCATCCAACATCTCTGCAGCCATTTCTTAAAGGTCTTAGAAAATTGGCCATTAGATCAAGAGAATTTGTCAGCCATTGCTTTTCCCATTATTTGTTCTGTAATGATTGTGATTATTTAGCTTCCTTCCTCTTTTTTGTCTCTTGATTTTCTACAAGTTTTGGGATGCTTTTTATGACTTCTGCTGTGAAGGCAGACGCAAAACACTTATTCAAAGCCTCTGAAGTTTCCTTGATTCCTCTTATTAATTCCCCAGCCACAACCTTTAAAGGATCCATGCTTACTTTAGCCACTTTTTTTCCTTTTTATGTACATGAAGAAGTTTTTGCTTTGTATTTTTTTTATTTTTCTTGCTAGTTTACTCCCATTCTGCAATTTCTCCTTTTGTTTAGTCCTTATTTGCTGGTTTCCATAATTTTCCTAATCCTTTGGCCAACCACTGATCTTTGCAAAATTGTATGTGTTTTCTTTAATGCTTAACTTCTTACTTCAGTCACAGGTGATTCATCTGTCTTGTATAATCTTGGTACATACATTTTGATTTTTCAAGCCAAGATAATTTCTCATTATAGTACTGATGTCCTCATATATTAACAGAGCTACCTCACCTGTTTTTCCCTTTTTCCTGTTCTTCTGAAATGCCAGATACCTTAAATATGGAGGTCCCAGCCACAATCTCTTTGCTGTGACAAAGACGTGGTTGTGTCAAAAGAAACAGGTTTTTAATCAGAAAGGGAATCAAGGGTTATGGGGAAAGGCAGGAATGTGGAGTTGAGGATTACCAGATGAGTCAGGGTTGAATGGCAAAACAGACTCAGTGGGCTAAATAGCCTACTTCTGCTCCTATGCCTTTTGGTCTTTGTGTCATTGGGTAGTGCACTAAAAATTAGTCTCCTGTATTCCTCCAGTTGTGATGAGTTAAAGATTGTAAAAAAAAAAATGCAGAGTTTCCCAATTTACCTGTCTTTTACACCAAGGTTGACAGAAAGAATGGACCAGGTTTCTGAACTTAAGAGGAATTGCTATGTATTACAAATAAATAGATCCCAATTACAGATAAACAATGATGAACTGTCAACATAAGACTAACCCATTCATAATTCTCCGTCTGTACATGCAGAGACAAAGGATGGAAAGAAAGACTGGGAAGACAGTTCAGTGGTCCCTCTCCACAGGGTTTGTGGAAATGATCCATTTGCAGATTAGAATGCTGCTTCTCGATCTTCCTTATCCTCTCCAGATGCTTTAGCTTGTTAGAATAGAGTAGAATAGAATCCCTACAGTGTGGAAACAGGCCCTTCGCCCCAACAAGTCCACACCGACCTAAGGAGCACCCACCCAAACCCATCCCCCTATAACCCACTTAATCTACACATCCCTGAACACTATGGGCAATTTAGCATGGCCAATCCACCTAGCCTGCACATCTTTGCACTGTGGGAGGAAACTGGAGCCAGAGAAAACCCATGCAGACACTGGGAGAATGTGCAAACTCCACACAGACAGTCACCCAAGAGTGGAATTAAACCCGGGTCCCTGGTGCTGTGAGGCAGCAGTGCTAACTACTGTGCCACCATGCCGCTCCAAAGGAGGTTGTTTGCAGGAGGCACGGAGTGACCGGTTCACACTTTAAATGTCTCTGTGTTATTAATTAAAAGTTACATGTCACGGCACCTGATGAGGATAAATAAGCGTGCTGTCTTCAGGTTTGAGATGCTTTTTACTGCAGAGCAAGAATAACTCCCTTCTGGAGGTCTGATAATTTCTAAATCAAACATTCACAATCCCAGACTGTTCAGCTACTTGTGAGCCAAACACATGGTACTTTGCAAGAAAACGACCTTGGTCATCAACAACAGGTCACTCGTCCACAGACCAATCAGCCATCCGTGCCATTCCTACACACCCTCCTGGGTCCAGCTTGTATAGACCTTGGCTTTGAACTGCATATACAAACAAACAACTGCACTTACAATAAGTGTCAGGTAATTTTGCTTTTAAAAAATGCAGCTAACCTTCCACCACCCTTGGACTGGAAAACAATCCTGTTCACATTTCAATCAACAACACAACAAAGATAAAAGGAAGTGGTCTTTACAGTTGTTACTATCAGTTATATCTATTTGGACTCTTAATTCATCTATCTTATTACCCAATCTGTGAATATTCAGTTAAGGAGCCTCTAATTCTGTCTTTTCGTAATTTTTCCCCAATTGCCCGTACTTACTAGTGCACTGTTCTGTCTGTGCACTGTGTCCTTTCCTGTTGCACTCTAGTTACCATTACCCAGACAGTCTGCACTATTAGATTGCCCTTACTGTTTAACTTTCTTGTTCACTGAGCAATTAACCCCCACCATCACTCACCCACTTCACAATCCTGCGCAGCCCTCTCTGCAACACTAATTCTACCATTTGCCAGGTCTTAGCATAGTTCAGGTATAGCCCATCCCAATAGTACATCTGTCTTCCGCCGTATTAGTGCTGAATTGAAATCCATTTCTCTGACACCAATCTGTGAGCCATACGTTCAACTCTGTGAACTTTATTTCTCCTCTGCCAACTTATCATGGCTCAGGTAGTAATCCAGAAGTTATTTACCTTCAAGGCTTGGGGAGAAGTCCTTGACCCCTTTCTTGGACAGACCTCATGGCCTTGGAGATTGATGTTCAGGCAAAGCACTCCATGATAATTTTCCTTTCCTCTCCGAATGGGGCTCTGGTAATTTCTAAACCCAGCTAGGGGATTTTCCGATGGGGTATTTGCTGAAGAATACCGTCTTTAACCGCAGGGTTTGAGTCAGTAGAGAGGGATCAGTTAACAAGTAGTTCCATGCTGCTTCTTTTGGAATTATTTATCACTTTCTTTTACTGAACAGAGCCAGAATTTATGTAGAGGGGAAACTAGACTATGGTGAATATGTGGACAAGAGCAATGTTCGAAGACAAGCAACTACAGTGGTGGCAGGTAAGTCCATCCCGATGACCTGGTTTTAATCGGACACAAAGTGAAAAAGAACAGAAGGGTAAAGAAATTCGTGAGAAAAGGATTAATGGGTAACGTTACAAGAAACCTTTAAATTTGTTGATAAGTAAATGGCAAATGGGTTTTCAAAGGTTAAGTCATGTTACTTCCTGACAAAGCAGGAAATCTCGTGAATGATGAGGTGCTAAATCATGGGTTCTTAAAGCAATGAAGGAGCTTGTTTTTTGTTCTTTGAAAGAATGGTCCAGTAATTCTACATTCTCTGTCTTTTCTCCATAGTTCTGCAGATTTTTATCCTATTCTTTTTGAAAGTTTACATTTTTCTGTTTTTAATGACCATTTGATGTGCTGAATTTAATTTTTCCTGCAACAATCTGATTCAAAGAATACTTGCAATGCAGAGGGAGGCCTTTCAATCCATTTTGCCTATGCTGGCTCTCTAAAAGATCATTTCAGTTCTTGCTCCTCCCGGGGCCTCTCCCCTATATCTCTTCAGATAAGAGTCTTGAAGCCTGGTTTAGGAATCAGTGCCTTCAGATCATAGCCACTCAAGTGAATCTGTCTCCATTACATTCTCAGACGGTGCATTTCAGGTCCCAACCACTGAAGTGAACCTGCCTGCATCACACACTCTCACGCAGTGCATTCCAGATCCTAACCACTCACTGGAGAAACGGTTTCTCCTCATGTCCATTTTGTTTCTCTTGTCAGTTGCTTTAACTCTGTGCTCTGTTGTTCAAGAGTTGCTGACCAGTCTGAACTGTGCCACTGTTCAGTGCTAGGCATTACTGGGACCATGGGCAGAAATCCATAAGGAAATCAGCATGGATCCCCCAAAGGCATGTAAGGTGCAGCTTTTTGGTCAAGGATGCCTTTGGAATTCTCAGGGTAGGAGATTGGCGCTAGGCATTGGAAGTTAGATCGACATTTCTCAGGGGGTGTCCCTAATGCCCACCTTGCATTTTCAGAATTGGGTATGGCCTTTCCTCCTTGCCTTTTCACCACCAAGCAAATGGTGATGAAATGGTTTTGCCGCTCTCATCCACCTGTCATTGCCAATTGGTTTGAGTACCAGTTGTGAGCAGTGGTTGGCCATCTAAGGCCCACAGTGGACATAAAGTCGGGCACCTTATCCATCCCAGTATTCTAGAGACCAGGTTGGAGGTAGCCAGAAAAGCAGTAGAGCAGGCAGCTGACATGTATTACATTTCTTCCAACCTGAAACACTCTTGGCTGGTGGGGGGGATACTCTACAGTGTCTGCATAAGTTCCCAACAAAGCTAAATTGTCTCAAAGATATATAATTGTCCTACTTAGATTTGCATTTAATACTGATCTAAAATGTGAAATAACCTAAAGTTTAGAATATGTTATAAAATCAAAGTAATATGATGTGTTACTATTCACCAAATTTCCCCGTTGAACCTATTTGTTATTTTTCTTTACAGATAATATAATATTTCTAAGCGACTCTGTCAAGGATAAAGTCTAGCCAGCTTCTCCCCCTGGTGGTGGTTTTGATTGTTTTTCTGTATCTATGTTTATGACTGTGAATTGGACTCTAGCCTTGGGCTTATAGTGATGTCACTTCTGAATAGATCATGTAATTTTTGATAATTGTTCAATGTGCTAAGATTACAATAAAGTAATGGCTGATCATAGTAACCTGTCTTTTGCCTTCACTCACATACGGAGGTAATATCCGTGGCTCATGGCTATGGTTTACAGCTGTTATTGTCAAAGAAGGGAAGGAGTTGTCAACGTCAGTGAGAATTCTCTCTGTGTCAATTGAGGCTCTATTGGTAACACGAGAAAGAGTCATTGTTTCAAACTAGTGCCTCAGTGCAGTGCTCAGTATATTGTCAGGACTACCACCTTTCATTGAGATGTTAAGCTGAGGCCCCATCTTCCCTCTCATCTGGATGTCAACAGTCCTGTTGAAGCTGGTTCTCCACAGTTTCATGGCCAGGTAGATAATACAATTGACAACCAGGCTCAATATAGAAGGTCCAGAAGTAAATATGAGAAATAAAGAGAAAGCATGAGAAGCGACTAGTAACAAATATAAAAGAGAATCCCAAAAGCCTCCTTCCGGCATTGTTACAAGGTTGGGCAGAATATTCATGAACTGGAAGGCAGGAAGTTAGAATGGTTGGTAAAAATGATAGTGGAGAAAAAGAATGCCTGATCCCTTTAAGAGACTGTGCTTTGCCTGTCCTTGAAAATTTACATGTACTGTGCACAGAGCGTGCTGAATTGAAACGTTTTGTATTGAACAGCCAAGCAGCACTTTTAACAAGACAAGTCTTTTCAAATTTAGCCAATCAACTTAAACCAAGACCTTAGATACTAAAAGCCAATTGAATTTAAAAACTGATGTAAGAATTTCATGTGTCGTAGAGGGTATATAAAGACAGGGCATATGGAAAATTGTGAAAGTCAATTGTTATTTGAGGGGAGAACAAGCGCACCATCTGAGAAGTAAGCCCCGAGCTCTCATAAGAAGTTGCTAAGCTCTCTAAGAAAGCACCATTTTATCGATAAAAGGTACCATGGCATTTTTAGCTTAGCATCCTCACAGAAGAAATTACTCAGAAAACATCCCTGACAGTAGAATCAGTGGAAGTAAGGCTTTTGTGGAATAACGGAAAAGGCAGAGGATTCCAGAAGACAGTCTGTGCAAACATGGAGAGATTAAGTTTTAATTTATTGTTGTCTTATTAATTGGGTTTATAGAAGTGGGACTTGTGTTTATTTGAACTGCATTCCAGTAGAACTTAGACCAGTTAGGAAGTAGTAGTCTAATGGGGAATTGTTCGGTTGGTTAGTAATTCTATTAATTTGTTCATTGTTAGGGTTAGATAAATAAATTGTTCCTTGTTATTTATAAAGTGGATCAGGGATTTTTTTTTTTCTTTTAACCACACTTTTAACAGATTACGAGGGGAAGCGTGAGCTTCTCTGGGTGTTTCGGGGGTAATTATTAGAAGGGAAATTCTAATCCCATCATAGCAGATTGGGGCTTTTGTTTTAGAACATAGAACAGTACAGCACAGTACAGACCCTTCGGCCCACGATGTTGTGCTGACCTATTATCCTACTGTAAGATCAAACTACCCTGCATACCCTTCATTTTACTGTCATCCATGTGCCTATCCAATAGTCGCTTGAATGTCTCTAAAGTATCTGACTCCACTACCACCGCCGGCAGCGCATTCCACGCACCCACTACTCTCTGTATAAAGAACCTACCTCTGACATCTCCCCCTATACCTTCCTGTAATCACCTTAAATTATGTCCCCTCATAATAGTCATTTCTGCCCTGGGAAAAAGTCTCTGGCTATCCACTCTATCTATGCCTCTCATCATCTTGTACACCTCTATCAAGTCACCTCTCATCCTTCTTTGCTCCAATGAGAAAAGCCCTAGCTCCCTCAACCTTTCCTCATAAGACAGTAGAATTTAGACCAGCTAGGAAGTAGTTTGTAATCTAAGGGGGAATTGTTCTGTTTGTTAGTAATTCTGTTAATTTGCTCATTGTTAAGGTTAAATAGATAAATTGTTTCTTGTTATTTATAAAGTGGATTAGGTATTTTCTTTCTTTTAACCACTTTTTTAACATCACGAGGGGAAAGGTGAGCTTCTCTAGGTGTTTCGGTGGTAGTTATTAGAAAGGAACCTATAATCCCATCATAGCAGATTGAGGCTTGTGTTTTGGTTTACTTATCAGAGGGGTTCGGCCATTCCCCCTCCATAATGGCATGTAAGTATCAATAGTAAAAGGGTAGAAAGAGGAGGAGTAGGACTGATTTGAGACCTACAAAGGGACTTCCACATAGAGACAGGCCATTTCAAAGACACACTCAGATCCAGCTCCAGGCATCTGGTAAAGGTCCCATTGGAAACTGCACCCCATCCTTGCTACCAACCACCTATCCACACTCTCCCCTTCAATCATCGTCTAGAATCCCCTTCCTATCACTGTCTATGAATGACTGGCTTCCTCCTTGATCTGTGGCTTTGAATGGCAGTAGTAATAGCAGTGACCATCACCTTCCATAGCTCTTGAGTACAGAGAGCTGCCAGCCTCTGATTGGGCTCCCAACCCCTGGGATCATCAACATGATTGATCCAACAGAGGGTGGCAGAGAGATGTCATTGAGGAGCATTCTGGGAGAAGTTGGCTCAGTCACAACAACTGAACAGTAGATCACAGAAGAACCCGGTGTCAAGGAACGGTAATGTTCCAGTAAGGAGGAAGGAAAAGGATCACAAGGTAAGGGACCGGTTGTGGTTTTGTCAGAAGGAAAAAAGAAGTTTACGTAAGGTTTAAGAAGCTAAAATCAGACAGGGCCCATGAGGAATATAAAGCAAGAAAGAACTTAAGTAAGGAGGAGCCATGAAATGACCTTGGCAAGTATGGTTAAAGAGAATCCCAAGGCATCAAAAAACAAGAGGATAACTAGGGGAGAAGGTAGGACCAGTCAAGGATATAGGAGCGAACTTGTGCTCAGTGGCTGAGAATGTGGGCGAGATTCTAAATGATTACTTAGCATCAGTATTCACCCAGGAGAAAGATGTGGAGGGTAGTGAGATTAGTGTGGAGCATACTAATATGATAGGGCATTTTGAGATCGAGAAAGAAGTGGTGTTGGGTTTCTTGAAGAGCCTTAAGGTGGATAAACCCCAGGCCATATGGTATCTACCCCAGATTATCGAGAGAGGTAAGAGAGGAGATTGCTGGGGCCTCAACCAAGATCATGGTTAGCCACTGGAGTGGTCCCAGAAGAGTATCTAATCTTGTTCCTCTGTTCAAGAAGGGAAATAGGATAATCCAGGAAACCAGAGACTGGTGAGTCTCACATCGGTGGTTGGGAAGCTATTGGATAGAATTCTTAGGGGTAGAATTTACACGCCTTTAGAAAGGCATGGCCTAATTAAGGACAGTTAGCATGATTTTGTGCAGAGCAGGTCATGTCTTATTAACTTGATTTTTAGAATTTTTTTGAGGTGGTGTCGAAGGTGATTGATGAGAGTGAAGCAGTGGATGTTGTCCACATGGATTTTAGTAAGGCTTTCGACAAGGTCCCTCATGGTAGGCTCATTTCAGAAGATTAAGATGTATAGGATCCATGGTGACTTGACTGCGTGGATTCAGAATTGGCTTGCCCATTGAAGGCAAAGGGTAATGGTGGAAGGGTGTTTTTCTGGCTGAAGGTCTGTGTCTAGTGGTGTTCCGCAGGGATCTGTATTGGGATCTCTGTATTGGGATGAAAATGTAGATGGGTAGGTTAGTAAGTTTGCAGACAACACAGAGATCTGTGGAGTTGTGGATAGTGTAGATGATTATCAAAGGATGCAGCAGGATATAGATCAATTGCAGATATGTGTGGAAAAATGGCAGATGGAGATTAAGCAGGAAAGTGTGAGGTGCTGCACTTTGGGAAATCAAATGTTAAAGGAAAGTATATAGTTAATGCCAGGACCCTGAATAGCATTGATGTACAGAGGAATCTTGGGGTTCAAGACCATAGCTCCGTGAAAGTAGCCACCGCAAGTGGACAGGATGTAAAGAAGGCGTATGGCATGCTTGCAATTATTGATGGGTCGTTGAGTACGAGAGTCATAATGTCATCTTGCAGCTTTACGAGACTTTGGTTAGGCCATATTTAGAGTATTGCATTCAGTTCTGGTCGCCACATTACAGGAAGGGTATGGAGGCTTTGGAGAGGGTGCAGAAGAGATTTACCGGGATGCTGACTGGATTAGAGGGTATAAGCTATAAGGAGAAGGTAGAAAAACCAGAGTTATTTTCTCTGGAGCAGCAGAGGCTGAGGGGGAGACTTGACAGAAGTCTATAAAATTATGAAATGCATAGATAGGTTTGACAGTCAGAATTTTTTTCCCAGAGTTGAAATGTGTAATACTAGGGGACATGCATTTAAGGTGAGGGGGGAAAGTTCAAAGGAGATGTGAGGGTCAAGCTTTTACACAGAGAGCAGTAGGAGTCTGAAATATTTTGCTGGGGTAATGGTGAATGCAGATACGAGGGCATTGAAGGGATTTTTAGATAAGCACATGAAAGGCAAGGAATGGAGGGATATGGACTAAGGGCTGGTGGAAGGGATTAGTTTAATTTGGTGCCATGTTCGGCACAATATCATGGGCTGCATGGCCCGTTCCTGTGCAGAGCTGTTCTATGAATGTTTTGTGGTGGGGAAGGCCTGCCATTGGTCTGTTAATTGCTCGGGTGCCACCAGATGCTGAGGCCTTCTCAGATGGAGGTGATGATGGTCCCTCACTGGCTTTCCAATTGCCGGCGAATTGATAAGTAGCCACTGAGTGACTGACACTCTCGCAACTGTGTCCTCCAGTGACTAACATTCCCTGGGATTGAAATCTGTCACCCGCAAGCCAGGAGCCTGTTGTCCCTGGTGACTGATATTGTTGGTAATTGAAATTTCTGGTGACAAATTACTTATTCCTAATTACTTATATGGGCAGTGAGTGGCCCTCCGGGTGACTAGTTCTCAGATTGTCCATTTCTCCCAGTGAGGCCGTCAGAGTGAGTGAATCTCAGGTTGTTGGTTCTTTTATTCTCTTTCACCTGCATTACCATATCTTAATCATGGCTTTTAGTTTTTCTCAACCTCCATCTCT